GAACACAATAGAATTTGTGTATGAAACGCATGAATAGTGAAATGTCAGATAATGGATTGATGATGGATTGAAGATTTGCAAATGAACCGTTTACGATATGGTTTTCCTATTTTACTGAGTAACTCTGTAATTTTCGTTAGTCAGTCAGTCAGATGCAACGTAGAACTTCGTACATAAGTACATCAGTTCATGTTGCCATACCACATCAGCACAAAGATGTAATTGTCAATTCAAATCCAATAGTAGAACAGGTAGTAAGGGAATTAGAAGTAATCGGAGAGGTTAGGATTAGAAGATATTATTCAAGAAGTATGATTCAGTAAGATAAGTTTAGAGAGTCGAAACTAGAGGGGTTGAAGAATACAGAAGATTAGGATTTGAGAGAACACAAAGAATAAATGCACCGGCGCCATTGCGAACGATTTTGAGCCATGTCATTCAAGGTCTCTAACCATCGATTATTATCATCTCGCAGACCCCAACCAGGTAGTCGACAATTACCGACATGGCTAAGTCCACTCGTCAATCACTTGATGGATTTGTGCCATGTTTTGGTTTGGCCGCCCCTAACTTTCTTCCAACCTACTACTACACTACAAAACAAGGCTCGACGAGGCAGTCGGTGGTTGGGCATACGCAACCGACCGAAGCTGCTACCTTGACGTGGTGGTCGGGCTTGCCTATCGTGATGACCCAACCGAGCTATACTGGCTGGAACATATGTTCCTGCAGGTCCTACCATGCCAGGCTGGTCGATTGGAGGACGATGAGACTAAAAGCAGCTACCCAAGGTCTGAGGGCGAAGTCGTACTGCTGACTGCAGAGGGGTGTGACAGCAGTAAGGTGTTTCCTCGGACAACCAGCATCTGCAGCGATGCTGCCTTCGCACAAGGAAGGAAGGGTTAGAAAAGGTCGGCCCTAAAAATGTCACACCTCCCCTAACTCACGGATTTTCGTCTCCTTGGGTAAGGGTGCCCACTAAGGGCCTTTAAGAACGGAGCTAGTTCCTCTAAAATACCTATCATAAAAAGGCCGTGCGTGACCGGCCTCAAGCAGTTGTCCCTTGGGCTCTGCGGTCACGCACCAACACTAATCCATCTTCGTTTTCAGTTCCCTCAAGAAACAACCTTCCACGGTGTGGGCAGCCGGGAAGTGACAACCGCCCTCATACCCGTAATTTTCGTTAAATACAATTCGGTTGCCCTCACCTGTGTTCTCCTTCACTACACTACCTCACTACATGCAATTGGCTCACCGGAATTCTCCTCCTTGCTTCGCTTTACTTTCAAGCAACATGTTCTCCTGTCAGTCTGTATAAACGATTGCTTGAAATAAACTTATCGAACCGAATCTGTATTTGGCTTCTTATAATTGCCGTCACATTAACATGATTGGCCTAAGCATATTTAACTATCCATAAATATCAACGTCTAACGCAGTCACAAAGTGGTGAACATAACACAGTCTGTCAAGATTGGGTGAGCTCTAGTTCGAATGTCATACAGCAGCCAAAAATTTGATTTTTCAAAATTCACTGGTAATAGAATAGTATTGTACATTGTGTTCATAAAAATCCATTTCTGTATAGAGTCTCATAAATAAAATAAATATCAGATATTTGATTGTCAGTTCGGACTGTTTTATTCACTTAGTACCACTACTAGTAAGCAGTATGTGTGCTTACTTACCTAATTACGCCTATTAACCCCCCCGCCCAATGGAGCATAAGCTACCAACTAGCATTCTCCATCCTACTCTATCCTGGGCTTCTCTTTCCATTTCTATCCAGTTGTTGTTCATTCTTCTCGTGTCTTGATCCGATCAATTCTTAATGAAATGACATTTTATTTTAGATAAATCTTTGATACTAACATGAATTTTATTACACTTACCAAATTATAATCTACCCTTATATTTAAACCTGTATAATGACATATTCTATTCGAGACTTGTCCTTCTTGTTCCAGTTTTCCAAATTCAAAATAGTATTTAACACATTTGCGATCATCAATCAAACATTGTTAGACCACCATTAGAAACCTGGAAGCACTGAATGACAGCCGTTTCGTCCTGGCATGGGACTCATCAGCAGTACGCATTCACGACTCCTTCACCTCGCAGGATTCGAATCCTGGACCTTCGGTATTGTGAGCGAACGCCTAACCATTGGACCAATGGGCCGGCATCAAATGGTTTTAATCTCTAACTCTGATTGATCTAGGGATTTTGCGCGACCTCATCCATTTATTTGTCTTCGGTAGTTACTGCCTACACCCGACAAAGTTGAATTCCATTAGTCACAACCTCTCACTAGAATTCCGGGAATTTTTACTCACAATGCTTATCCACTCACTAGTGAGAACATTTTTTACAATGAAATCGTGAATCTGTCTACATTAAATATTTTAATATGTGTTTATGACATTAGTAAAAACTGGATCATTTTTTTTTTGATGTTTTCACCAGTTTTGCCCTCTTTTTTTCTTCTCTCATATCATATCATATATTTCTAGATTACTGAACTTGCTCCACTTCGTTCATTACTTGAATGTTTACGTGAATCGGAACTGAGATCAAATTTCTCTGTTCCAGTATTACATAAATTCTCAATACAAATTGCACGTGGAATGAGTTATTTAGAAGAATATGGTCTTGTACATGGTGATTTGTCGGCTAGAAACATTCTAGTCTTTTCAAAAGATATTGTAAGTGTAATGTGAACAATACTTTGAAATGTTTTATGAGTTACTAGTTATTATTATTATTATTATTATTATTATTATTATTATGATATTGCCATAGAGAGTTGAAGGTTTCCTATGAGACCGTAGAGGTTCGTTATGATGAACATTGTGTCTGCTTTGGCACATTACGTTGGACAAGTTTTACTAATAGTTCATATAAAAATTTTGGTTTATGCTGAGTAACCGATTTCATTGATACTAGTCGTGTGAGGTCATTGTCATTTGGTATGCTGTATCGTATATCACTATTGCTAATAATAGTAAATGATTTGGATAGTTATGTAAGCGGGATGGGGACATATTGACTTGTTCATGCTGTACAGATGGATTGACTGCGATCATGGATCGGAAATAATCACTATGTGTGGTGTGAATGGTCGACGAAGGTGTCAGGTACTTTTGTGATGTTCAGTCAGTCAGTCAGTTGCAACGTGGAACTTCGTACGTATGTGCATAAGTTCATGTTGCCATACCACATTAGCACAGAGACGTAAACGTCAAATCAAATCCCATAGTGATAAAGGTAGTAGAGGTATTAATGGTAATGAAGAAGACTAGGGTTTGAAGATATTATTGAAGAAGTATAATTCAGTGAGATGAGGTTAGAAAAACAAAGGTAGAGGTAGAGGTGCTGACGAATCCAGAAGATTAGGATTTGAGAGAGCTCAAAGAATGGATGCACTTGCGCCATTGCAAACGATTTTGAGCCATGTCGTTCAAGGTCTCTAACCATTAGTGACTTTCGTCTCGCGGACCCCAACCAGGTAGTCTACATCTACCAACATGACTTAGTCCACTTGTCAATAGCTTCGTGGATTTGTGCCATGTTTTGGTTTGTCCACCCCTAGCTTTCTTCCAACCTACTCCTACACCACTAAACATAGCTCGTCGCAGCAGTCAGTGGTTAAGCTGAGATTTCGTCAGTCGACCGGCCATCAGCACTGATGAGACTCCCCAGATAAGTGAAGTGATCAACACGCTCGACCACTTCACTCCCTATCACTAGTTCAGATGCCGAAGCAACCCAGTCTTGAAGCAACATTTTGAATTTCGAAGGGAAAAACCGCATCCCGAACATGCTTGCATTGTTGCTTATGGTAGTCAGAAGACTCTGCATTTTGTCAGCGTCTTAATCAAGTAGGACTATATCATCGGCATATTCTAAGTCAATAAGCGAGCCACCTGGTAGAGAGAGGGTCTACTCCTGAAAATTCAGACGAGGATAAGGTTATTTCTAGGAGCATGTCTATGATAAAATTAAACAAGAATGGAGAGAGTGGACATCCCTGACGGACACCACTTGATGTAGAGAATTCAGATGACAGTTCGCCATATGCTCTCACCCGACCAGTAGTGTTCGAATAGAGAGCTTGTATAAGGTGTTAATGTACTTCTTTGGTACACCTTTCAATGACAGACACTGCCACAGAACCTCACGATCCACTGAGTCAAATGCCACTTTTAGGTCCAGGAAGACAACTATTGTAGGACGCCTAAATGTGTGTCTGTGTTCCAGGACCTGTCGTAGTATGAAGATGTGGTCTATACAACCACGTCCAGGTCGAAAACCAGACTGGTTTTCCTCGAGTCTGCTCTTCACGAGCTCTAGTTAGACGTCTAAGTATAATCGTGGCGGTTGCGTCACAGGATTGAGCTGTACTGTTTATGTTGTAGTGTTAACAAGCGGACAGTGTTCGGTTCTCCTGAAAACCAATGTAAAATTACCCTTGACTATTGAGGGTGAATTTTTATTTTTAAAAAATGATTATATAATAATTATAATTATAATAATAATTATTATTGAAGTAATAACAGTCATGTTAGTGTACTCACCCCAAACTAACGCTCGAATCTAAAAAAAATGTTGTTCATAACTAACCAAGCCGAAAAAATTGAACTATAGACATACATCAGTAATGCTGAATAAGAATCATATTTAGTGGACGACTGTGTTATGTTCGTCGTCAGGCACACCACTTTAGTGGCCTGTGATCTAACTTTTTTTATTTATAAACGTTACAGTATGCTATGAAACAAATCTTTCATTCAGTTTCCGTATATCATGCTTCGGTGAACCCCATTTGTGTGACGGCGTTAATATTAGGAGCCAAATACGGATTTGGTTGGATGAGTTTATTTTGTGCAGTCATCTATGCAGAAAGACATACGAATGAAAAGCATACAAGCAGAGAGAAGGTGAGGGAGTCAACTCAATCTAATGAACCGTGAATAATCATTTATAGTCAGACAAAATAAACCAGCCATGCAATAAATGATGTTATCACAAATTGTAATTGATAAGTTTACAAGCTGACTAACTCTATTCATCTCTTATTGACTTAGAATATGCCGATGGTATAGTCCTACTTGGTGAAGACGATGACAAAATGCAGAGTCTTCTGATCACCCTAAGCAACAATGCAAGCATGTTCGGGATGCGGTTTTCCCCGTCGAAATGCAAAATGTTGCTTCAAGACTGGGTTGCATCGGCACCTAAACTAGCGATAGGGAGTGAAGTAGTCGAGCGCGCTGATAGTCTGGTGACTGACGAAATAGCAGCGCGGATACAGAAAGCTCGATTGGTTTTTACCAACCTGCGTCCCTTATGGCTTAAGCGTGATATCCGTTCGCTAACTCCTATATGGCTGTGAAACATGGCCGTTAAGAGTAGAAGATGTTCGTAGGTTACTAGTATTCGATCATAGATGTTTAAGAAGCCTTACTCGTATATCGTCGTACAGCCGAGTAAGCGATGCCTTCGTTCGGAAACGAGTACTAGGTAAGGGTGGCAAATCAACAGATGAAGTAGTGAAATTTCATCAGTTGAGGTGGTTAGGACATGTGTTCCGAATGGCTAACCACCGACTGCCTCGACGAGCTTTGTTTTGTGGTGTAGGAGTAGGTTGGAAGAAAGTTAGGGGCGGCCAAACCAAAACATGGCACAAATCCATCAAGTCATTGACGAGTGAACTTAGCCATGTCGGTAATTGTCGACTACCTGGTTGAAGTCAGCGAGATGATTATAATCCATGGTTATAGACCTTGAATGACATGGCTCAAAATCGTTTGCAATGGCGCAGGTGCATTTATTCTCTGAGTTCTCTCAAATCCTAATCTTTTGGATTCTTCAACACCTCTAGTTTTGACTTTCTAAACTTTTCTCATTTAATCATACTTCTTGAATAATATCTTCTAATCCTAACCTCTTCGATTACTTCTAATACCTTTATTACCTCTACTACTATTGGATTTGAATTGACAATTACATCTCTGTGTTAATGTAGTGGTATGGCAACATGAACTGATGATGTACTTACGTACGAAGTTCTACATTGCATCTGACTGACTGACTGAACTCTATTCATGTAAATAAAAATAGGAGGTTGTGTAAGTTCAATTTCATTTGTAGCTGTAGAATTAGATGTTTTTTTTAAAAAAAATTACTAAACCAAATTATTCAAACAATTAAATTGTTCAATGTTGCTAATAAATTTTTCTTTGGCTTACCATTTTTTTATAAAAAAAAAACTCCATTTAAATTGTGTATTAATGGTTAGTTAGTCAGTTAATGAACATTGAACATAGATAAATAATATATTTTCAATGTTTCAACTATTCAATATGAAACTATTAATTTTGGTTTAAAATATCAATAAAAATCTAAATACCCGGATAATGATGGTTTGTCGGATATCCCTGAAATTATCTCTCAGAAAAGTTTATAGAATAGATGCCCCAACAATGCTAAGAGATGTTTTGTCCAATCAGCATTAGATGGAAGCCTCAGATTGGACACTTAACCGTATAGCTACTACTGTATATTTCGTATAATTCTTGAACTCTCTAGAGAAACCCAAGGTCATGTGTAACTCTTTAGGGGGTACCCTCATGTTTTCCGTGCATAAATTCATTTTGAAGTTAAGGGGTTCTTCCCATACTTCATACCTTTTTTTGGCTTGTGTTCGAGTTACAGTGTAAATTTAGTTTGAGTTTACTAGAAACGTGTACGAATTCAGATGATGGCTTTCCTTTTAACAGACTTATCATACTCGTATGAAACTTTTCTATGGCTATTTATTTTAAAGTAATTTTCATTACCATCATCCTGTTTTGGCCTTTAGATGTTTTGTTAATATTGTTGTTGTGGTTGTCTGATTTTGTAATATAATGAGATTTTGCGTGTATCTTTTTTTTTATTTCTGACATTACTCACTACTTATTTGTACAATTTTTAAATTTATCTATGTACTTTGTCCTGTTTTTTGTCTCATATTGTCCTTTACTACTACTATTATTATTATTATCAATTTCCTTCTTGGTACATTTTGTAAAAATCACTACACATCATTTTTATACTTGCTGACTTACTTACTTACCTACGTCTGTTAACCCTACTGGAGTATAGTTCGCTGATTGGCAGTCTTTCTAGTTCAATCCAATTACTGTTCATTCTTTTACATGCCTGTCTCCAATTCTCAGCGCAGTATGTTCTTTGGTCTCACTTTTTTCTGTCTTCATTCTTCAGCGTAATCTGTCCTTCAGTCTTTTTCTTTTCTTTTGACCTTCTCGGTTCCAAGTGAGGGCTTGTCTTGTGATACAGTTCAGTGCTTTCTGCAATCTGTGTTTTATCCACTTTAAGTGCGTCTTCCGAATTGCTTTCTGTGCTGGAATCTGGTTTGTTTGTTCTCTCGCACAGTAGCTTGTTGCTGATAGTGTTTGGTCAACGGATGTTCAGTGTTGACAATTGTTAATCAACACTTGTATCTTCTGAATAATCCCGACCGTAGCTGCTACCTTGACGTGATGGCCGGGCTTGCCTATCGTCATGACCCAACCGAGCTATACTGGCTGGAACATATGTTCCTGCAGGTCCTACCATGCCAGGCTGGTTGATTGGAGAACGATCAGACTAAAAGCAGCTACTCAAGGTCTGAGGGCAAAGTCGTACTGCTGACTGACTG